GGGTTGAATAATTTTCTTTTCTTGATTTTTTCGTTGTGCAATAAGAAATACTATGTTTATATATTACGTTTATATTATTTTATTACATGAAATCTAAGCTAAAATTATGAAAATTATATAAAAATTTTAATAAAATTCAATATCAAAATTTGTTTTTAATTACTTTTTTACAAATAAAAAAAATTGATCCGATTTGCCTTGGTCTATCCAAACTGCTCATTGCCCTAACAAATCGTCAACGTCTTATTGCCAACGGCAATGAGACAATTGAACGAGTAAGAAAAGTTGTAATATCGTAGCAAATTACTCGAATCGCAAGACTATATAGAAGATACATTGAGTGTAAAAAGTATTCGTACAGGGAAAATATGTTTTAAAGAAATCTTATTTTAAAAAGTAAATATTATTCAATGAGAAAAAACTTATCGAATAGTTAATGTCAAATTGATATCGATATTTTATAGTTAAGACGTTAAATGAGGAATGCCGAATGTCGGTAATAAAACAAAACCCGTATTATCAATGATTTTTTAGAAAAAAACAAATTTTGCGACATTCAATGCCGCGGCGCGTCCAGTTAAGGATTAATGACACAGTACGGAACATACGATAGTACATGGTGGAAATATACAAGGTAAAACATTGCGCATAATGGTAATAGCAATACTGGAAACAACCAATCAAATGTTCCCCAATATGCAATTTCCTGTGTATAACAGCGTTGGTATACTGGAACAGCCAATCAAATTTTATCCAAATTCACGCTGCTACTGCGAAATGGCTCACCTTGTATATTTCTACGATAGTATATCAAGAACGAAATCTCATCTTCATCGAACGAAACCAAGTTTATGCATGTAAATATCTTTCCAGAATGGCCTATTCATACCTATTACTATTTTTGTGATCATTAAAATTATAATTTTTTAAACTATTATAATCTCGTTTTTGAGAAAAGTTTATAGTGATTTATGTGCAGTTAGTCAAAGAAGCGTCGAGCCTTATCTGTCACTAACAATAAGTTATACGTGTAAAAGTTATTCATTTTCAACATTTTTTTTCTCTTTTATTTCATTAATCTACTTTAGAACTTTGCACATGCCAGTTCCGGTACTCTAACTTTATTATACAAAAAGATTAGACATTTCTATGGTAGCTCGATTTACCAAAGAACTTTTAATTAAAAAAAGACCGTATTTGTTGTATAAAATTGCCGGTTAATGTTTATTTTCTACAAATGAGACCATTTTTAAAAAAATTTTTCTTATATTAATACTTTTATATTCGTTGTACTAATTAAGATTGTCGAAACATCCTTTACGAAATATTTCGCACGTATAAAAAATGTATGTACAGTGCAACAAGTATTAGATAGTACGAAGAAAATTTTTATAAAAATTATCTTATCTGTAAAAAATAAACATTAATTACGCACGGCGCACATTGCGATGTTTAACGCTTGTGGCGCGCGATGTTTATTTACGCAAGAAGTTTATTTACCGCGCTGTTGTTCGTACAACGAACTACCGGCATCGAACCGAAGCTCGAGCGGATCGTGGCACTCAGTCTGGCGAAAGTTCAGTTGGATCAAATAAACAGGGACGTTTAGAATTATATAAGATAAAAGTATTGATAGAAAAAACATCGCCAAACTCGATCAAGAAATGGACGAATTGGTAGATATTATTCGTGAATACGAGGCTGAAAATGAGGCGTTTGAAAATCTGTTCTACTTGTGTTGCTCCGAAGTTGACGAGATACGAGACGAGATCAAAGTTGTCAAGGAAAATCGAAAATATTTGCAATCTATACAGAAGGTGACTATATCGGCTTGTGATTCCTCCGAAAAGTCTTACGGTAACGAATGTATTTGCTCGACGTTGAAAGAAGAGATATGGAAGTTGCGAATGGAAATTATATTGAAGAATAAAAAGATTCAGGCGTTGGAGCTACAAATACATAGCAGGAATGCCCTTCATAAAATTTGTAAAAGGCGATTACAACAATTATCGAGGGCACATAGCTATAAAGTACTTTATTATATTTCAATTGTTATTACATTACGTTTAATTATACGAACGTACTTTCACAAATGCATATTGTTCTTATAGATTAGCAAGCTAAAAGCGGAAATTGAGCAAATACAGATGGCTGTGTTGTGTACAAAGGCGGAAGAATGTGAGGTATGCAAACAGAGAATCATAAATAAGAGATATTAAATATGTCAGATAATGTCGAATAATACCTATTTCGATTTTGTGGCACAATGTGATATTAAGCAATCATTAAACGATCAATATTGCTGTACAATTATATTGTACATTATTATTGATATATATCTCTGTGTAATAATTTAATACAATTATCTCTGTGTAATTTAATACAATTCTTAATATAATTTTCAATTAAATTATGTAATAATTTAGCTATCTTTTGTTATGAATTTAATGTGCGTTAATCTAGATCATCTCTAAGAGCTAGTTGGACAAATTTATTTTTATTAAAACCATTATATAACAAAATTGATTGGACGCACTAGTGCGTATTTGTGTATATTAAAGCAATTGTATGCTAATTTAAATGTAAAGGTTTAATTCATTAAATTATATTTATAATTTTATGTAAATTTGTGTGCAAACGATTTAACGCAAAAGCTTTAACGTGCACAATGAGTGCATTCAATTCGGTAATAAGTAAACTTTTATTCAATTATAATAAGAATTGCTTTAAAATGATTTACGTGTTTTATATCTTAATTAATTAATTAATTAAACACTAATGTATCTTTAATATATTTTGAAAGTAAAAAATTCGTATATATATATATATATGTACATATATACTATATATAGTAATTCGCATTGAATTATTTAAGCATTAAAAGATCTAGCTTTGACTATTATGATCATTATTTCCTCTCTTATTTGTTTTAATTTTAAAAAATTTGTTGAATAAAAAAGTCAAAGTGATTCAATATATCTCATCCATGGAGTATATAAGCCATTTCAAGAAATAAGATGATGTCATCAAGAGATAATTGTTTAATAAGATCTAATATTATAAATTATATAATTATTAAAACATAAAAGAATAGATATTTTAATCAAATCTTTATTAA